TCTTGCTGCCATTTAGAATAAGGTGAAACAACTTCAGTACACAAAGCTCCACCTCGGTGCCTCCAAAAGTTAGGTGTAACAGCCTCTTACCTCAACCGTAAAGTTACCAAGGAACTGTTCACTGGCAGACCTTGTGGTCAGAAGCTCTGAAATGAGTTCTGTCTAGTGATCTTGGGTTCATAGACATTGGAGCTGGAAGGGACCTTGGAAGATCAAGTCCAGCTCCCTGTCCCAGGGGCAGGAAGTCAGCTGGGGTCAAAGCAGGGGTGTCCAACCTTTTCAAATGTGGGGCTGGATCATCAACTTTTTATCACCCAGTGGGCCGGCAGCAGCAGGCACTTGTGCAGCCTGTCCAGTCCAGCTGCAGCCTGGGGGCGCAGGGGTCAAGGAGTGCCATCTGACCCCGCCGTGTCCTCCCAGCCACCTGGGCAGCCTCGAGGATGCTCCCACACCTGCTCACCTGGGCTCAGCAGCCAGGGGGTCATGTGGGGACTCTACAGGGGGGTACAGGATGTGCAAGGACACCCCCCCTGCTCCCTCTCCCCCGGGGCAGCCCGAGCCCAAGTGGCAGGGGTCCCTCCCTCCCCAGGGCCTGTGACTCACCACCCACAGCAGGATGTCTGCGGGCGCGGGGGGTTGCAGGGAGGTGGGAACGGCGTCGGCTTCCCGCCCCAACAGCCACAGCAGCAGCATTTCCCGCAGGCCCCACCACAGCATCCCTCTGAGCCAGCATCCATGCCCCCTGCATCTGCCCACCTGCTGCACTGCGACCTGCTCCAGCCCACATGGCCAGCGGGGACCAGTGCAGGGCAGGGCTGGCATGCAAATGAGGAAGGGAGGGGCAGGGCTAGGAATGGAAACCCTGTAATGTGGAGGGGGGGAGCTGGCATGCAAATGAGGAAGGAAGGGATGGGGGGAGGGGAGAAGCTGCACCACGTCGGGAATGTCAAGCTGACGCGGTCCGTATGGGAACCTTGTCCCTTCCTCAGCCCTTCAGCAGCCATTAGGAAGCTGCTATGGGGCTGGGGGAGGGACAAGGGGCAGGAACGACTTTCGTTTCCTGTTGCAGCACTGCAGGCCACAGAAAATGGCTTGGCGGGCCACATGTTAGACAAGCCTAGGTCAAAGGATCCCAGCAAGATAAATGTCCAAATGTCACTTAAAGGAGTCCAGAATAGGTGTTTGCATCACCTCTGGAGGCAGTCTGGGGCCTCGGACAGTAAAGCAGTTTGCACTGCCTCTGGAGCCCCTTGGGGGCTCGGACAGTAAAGCAGTTCTTCCTTGTGTCCAGCCTGAAACGATCTTGAAGGAGTTTGGGACTGTTTGACCTTGTCATCTCTTGGGGCACTCTGGTGAACAGGCGTTCCCCCAGGTCCTGATGTATACCCCTTATAGGCAGCCACCAGGTCCCCCCCCGGGTGTAAACTTTGATAGAAGCTTTTACTTAAGCATTCATGTGAAAAAGGCATGCACAAAGATAAAAGCAAGGACTAACTTTATTTGAAAACTGAGAGGCACAAGTTAGGTGTTAATGTACCTACACTTCTTACAGCTACTCTGGAACTGATATTCTCAGCTGCTGAAAACTATGCACAGTTCTGGACCAGGAGCATATAACGGTGTACAGCTTAAAGCCATGCTGAGAATCTTAGCTGAAATATTAATCAGCACTCATTCACTGGTTTCCCACTCTGTTACATTGTCCCACCCAAAATATGCAGTGAAAGAATTCATGCAATCATGTAAGTCATGGCCAGCCTCAATTTACCAATGTGCAAGACTCCCCAGAACCTCTCTGAAGAGATGCCTCATATCTCAATAACCATTTTGGGAATGGGGTAAAGCTCTTAAAGCTTTTTAACTTAATTGTGAGGTATGCTGCCAAGAATTCTGGGATTATGGTCATGTACCAGACAAACACCTGATTGCCAGGCTGTGAAAGAACTTCATGTAGCAAGCTACTCTACAAATAGTGGTTGAACAATATTAGTTGCAGATACCTGATATCTCTGGCAGATGAAAGAATGGACTGTATGGCCACAATAAAAATTGCTGCTGTCTTTGACAGGTTTGCCAAAAATGCTTTTGGACTTGCACTAAAATGTTTCTGAAATTCTTCTGATTCACCAGTCTGGATTTTGTCATTTGAACATTGGTGGTCACCTCTCTTGCTATGCAAAAGAAGAAAAAAGAATTCCTAGCCCCACATACAGTTGGCATAGAACTCTGCAGTTCTGACTCTGAATTCCCTTTTGTTTCTATGCCTGGGATACAGGGAAAGCCTCTCTGTAAAATCAAGGAATTTTACATGGTGATAGAAGGTGAGGTGGCAGTACGAGCCGTCAGGTAGAGCAGTAGGTCCTTTGATTGCCAAAGCAAAGGTAGATCGAGCAAGCAGTAGGACCTAGAGTAGGTCCTTTGATCTTTAAAGCAGTCTGTTTCTATCCTGGACCTTTTGCTAATTAGCTCTACACATCTTTTTTTTTCTATTGGTAATACTGAAGATATTTAGTGCTTTCAGGATCCCAAGATGGAAAGCACTACATTAAAGCTAATTGTTTATTTTTTAAGTTTGAAAGAGAAGTTGGATGGAAGCAGCTTTCCTGCTAATGAACCTCAAAGTTCTTTCACAATTCTGTTTAAACGAACAAAAAAAAGGGTAATAGAAGTAATGGGGGGGGTCTAACCATGTTGCCAGAAGCTTAGGAAAACTAAAAAAGCTGAAGTTGTGATGCACATTTTACAGCTAATGATGAGGACAAAAAGTTCTACTAAGTTCAGGCACCCCCTTTTTTTTTTTTTTTTTTTTTTT